TTTTGGAGTTGTGTTACAGAGCAACTTTAGTATGAGCCTATTATGCAGCCGTGTTTGGACCAGCAAGGCATAATCATAAAGGGAGGAATTTACATCCTCCAATTAATCTCTATGTAAACAAACTCATTGTTAATTAATGAATATGATCACAGTGTGAATCACAGTGATTGAATATTTGTAACTGCAAATGTGAATTGCACTGTGTGCATTACATTATTAGGAGTAAATCAGCTCATGTTGTTGTAATTGACAGCAATGACACTAAGTACTACTTCACTATATTTAGTGACAAGTACTTTTGAATGGTGAAGATTGCACTGATGAAAAACTCCTTCTAACTGACATTCACACCTTTAATTATTACACAGCAACAAATATTGTTAAGAGTGTTGTGAAACCATGTTAACTTAATGAACTGTATGTAACTTCACATTTTGCTCATGTAGTATTATCATGTAGTAACTTGACTTTCATTTATCATCATGTGATAATCACTTATTTAAGTACACCACTTGTTCTACATTCAGTTATTTTTCTAGTTCTCCACCAAATTTGGTTATTATAGTGTGTATAGTATGCATGTGAGGGAGGTGGTGGAATAGGAAGACAAGAATGTAATCAATTAGTTACAGACTATTACTTGTATATATAGCAACAACCACATGTATACCTAATCATTTGTTGTTTTTGTAAGTACATGTACACACACAAAATGTGAGTACACACTTATGCTATCATTTAAGCCATCCAGCATGAGTTTACTGCGGGCCTACATGTACAATGAAGAGTTAATTGGAGAGCAGCCTATTGTGATGGAAATATTGTAACTGTTAGATTTTGAGCATAACATTATATTCTCTTGTTAGGTTGTTTTTACTGATTTGAGAGGCAAAGCATTTGAAGTGCAGGTTGGATTGCATGAACTATTAGGACACGGATCAGGGAAACTGTTCAGTAAGGTAAGTCTCATTAATTCATTGTTATAGTTGATGGTATGAGTCTATAATAGGACAAGAATGGAGTCTTTAACTTTGAACAAGATAAAGTTATTAATCCTTTGACTGGAGATAAGGTTGGGCTCGCAGTCTTACACATTATACTATAAAGCCTGGTTTATAGTCCATGTAAAAAGCATAATCTGCGTGGGTGATTTGACTTTAAGTTGATAATTCTGCATCACATTTTATGAGAGCGTAAACCATACCAATAACATTTATTACTTACATAGTAGTGTAGTTACATCATTTGTATTGTTTACACTAACATTATATGGAGCAAAACATTGTTATAATTTT